GGAGCACTGGGTGTTATACACAACAATGAATCATGGAACACTACATCAAAAACTAATGATGTAATGTATGGTGATTAACATAACATAATAAAAAAAAACCTTAGAACAACAAAAAAAAGGAAGTTATTTGCCTCTTCTAAATTTAAGCATTTGGTCCTTAGACAGCTTTTGTATTGACAGGGCAACTAGATTCTTGGAAGGTGCAATATAAATTTCCCTATCTTTCTGTCACTCACACAGTTTGGTTCTGTGCTGCTTTGCAGGGGGGAATTGGGCTAAGTTCCTTACTGGTATCTGTTATTACAAATGGCAGTGGACTGGAATGGGTACACACTGGAAGATATTTACTCCAGACCTTTGGTGATTCAAGTCCACAAACTAACACCTTTATGGCACGAGACATGGGGCCAGGTTTATAGAGACTACCAAAATAAGCAATAGGTAGTTTCCATACTCAAGAATTCAAATCATGGGTAACTCTAATGGATGCTGCTGGGTCCCCTCAGATCCTTTCCACCAGCCTGAGCACGTATTTCCTAGATGCTGTGTGCTGGCTGAGAACAACTCTTAAGCTGCCCACCTGTTCCAGAAAACAGCTGTTGACCCAACAGAAGCCAGCAAGTCTGGGAAGCTACAGAGTTGCTGCTTGATTCCCCAGACAGAGGCTCTGCTTCTCAGGAACCCCACCTAAGATAGTGACATCATACAAATACATAAAGTATGGCACAAAGCAGAGAGAGCTGTGTGTTATAACAGGAATAAAGTACGTTGGAGGAACTCACAAGGAAACTGAATCTAGGAGTATGAGGACAAGTTAGGTTCACAGCAATTTAGTAAGACCAAACACACCAAGATGCATGTAATATGGACAGATATTAGGGAACTCGACCACAGGTATCAAAAACAGCCATATTAATTCAAGACAGAGATGTCATTTAGTACCAACACATATTTGAAAAGATTTCAGGGTTTTAACTGAATATAAGTGCAATTAGGAGAAAACAGCTACACGGTCACCACAAACCTGTTAGCACAAGCTGCCATTACGGAAGAAGAAAGGGCGCTCACGGACGGGTGTATTTTAAGGAATATTATTTATTCGTGGGCAATATATTTAAAGAGGAACACAAATATACCTAAGAACAAAGGCAGAAAATTTAAGGGGACAGATTTAAGCTGTCCAAAGCTGGAGTAAATAGATCTGTTTTGAAAACACTTAATTTTTTTTTATCTCTAAAAATGTTTTAGTAGAAGCTAGAACACTGCTTAGCTTTGTACATTACTGACTTGTACTTATTATATACAGGAAATTCAAGTATCAGCTGAGATGGTTTGAAGGTTCTCCTTTGGTTGTATTATTATTCTTCCAGATGGAGTAGGGGATGAGTGTGGTGGGAGTGAGAATCCAGAGATGCTTCATGAAGTAGGTGTCATTTGAACTTGGCCTTAAAAGGTAGACAGGACTTTAAAAAGCAGAGATAGGAACAACAGTCCTTCTTTTATATAATGTACTCTGATTTACAAATCGCATTGCAGTCCCATAAGAAAGAAAGTTGGACCTCGGTTTGAAGGGGAATAAAGAACATTTATTATATACCTAACTATGGATGGAACCAGGGGCTTTACATATCTTCCCACATTTAAGCTTCAAAATGACTATTCAAGGCACCACCGTATTTATAAGACAACTAAGGTCCAGAGGAAAAAACTGGGTAAGGGATCTTCCACTTTTTGAGTATCCATGTATGTACAAGCAATAAAAGAATAAGTTGCTATTCCTTTCAGACCCTGCTAAAAAGAAATGTCTTGGAGGGCTATTCTTTTTTTTTTTTTTAAAGATTTTATTTATTTCACAGAGAGAGATACAGCTAGAGAGGGAACACAAGCAGGGGGGTGGGGGAGGGAGAAGCAGGCTTCCCGCGGAGCAGGGAGCCCGATGCGGGGCTCGATCCCAGGACCCTGGAACCATGACCAGAGCCGAAGGCAGACGCTTAACGACTGAGCCACCCAGGGCGCCCCTTGGAGGGCTATTCTTATTCTGATGGACACTAGGAGCTTTACATATGTTATCCTTTGCAAGACTAGTATTATTTTACACATCGGCACAATAAGCACAGAAGTTTAGCTTATGTGGCTGGTGAGTGGTGGAGCTGTAGTTTGACTTCCCAGAGATCACATTCTTTAACGACATCTGGCTACCTCACCTAGCTAACGAAGGCAAAATGACAAGCTAATAGGCTTTGACTTTATTCCACAGGCGGAGCTGATAGCCATGGTGGTCTTGGTCTGTGAGTGAGGGGAATCGGAGGTTAGCTATAGAGAGAAGTCTGGCAAGTGAGGTCAGGTGTACTGAAGAGAAAAGGTATCCGAGGTACATCCACTAATTACGGAGCCATTGGGAGTTACTGCCACAGATATCCTGAGCTGTACTCAAAATATCCATGGAAAGCGTGAGGAGTCCCAGAAATGTGTGGTTTGAGCCACTCATGGGCAGGAGCATGGGGAATATGGCAAGTCCTGGCCCAGAAGCAATACTGACCAAGTAACCACTTCCTGTGCCGCACAGAACTTGGGGAATTTATGGAGAGAAGACGTAGCAACGCCTTGAAGAAAGGCCTGGAAATGATATTTAAAATAGTAATCCTTTTAACTGACCAACTGAAAATAAGGACAGAGAAAATAAGTTAACAAGGTAGGGATGGTCATTTAAAGATTTCTTCATTCATCCCAAATCCAACTATTCATCATGTGCTGAGGACTATGCTATCCACGTGTGATGATTAAAAAAAAAAAATCCCTGTTTAAGAACAATGTAAGCCTGTAAAAGGGGGAAGGGAAGTGAGTAGGTGGCGTGAGTTCTTGTGTTAATCTTACACCTAGTTTAAGGAGGTCCCAAGCTAGAGGAGTCTCTAGGGGACTGGCAAAATCAAATGCAAATCCCTTCTGGAGGAAGGCAATTTCATCCTAGGCTTCAAAGAGTTCCTATGAATCATTTTCAAGGGCAATGAACAGCATAAAGTAAGAAAATGTTGTTCACATAGAAATGAGGTAGCATGAGCAAGAACTAGTAAAAATAACTGAAAGCAGTGACAGTCCCAACAGAAACTACAAAGCAACAAATAAGTTTACCATGTGGAAAGAAACAAATGAAAGTCTGAGAGAATCTTCCACAGAATATTTTTTTAAAGATTTCATTTATTTGAGAGAGAGAGCAATCAGGGGGAGAGGGGCAAAGGGAGAGGGAAAGTGAGACTCTCAAGCAGACTCCCCGCTGAGCATGGAGCCCAATGTGGGGCTCGATCTCACCACCCTGAGATCACGGCCTGAGCCCAAATCAAGAGTCAGATGCTCAACCGACTGAGCCACCCAGGCGCCCCTTCCAGAGAAGATTTTTTAAACAGTGACCTAACAGATTGGTAAAATAACCAAATAGAATATCTA